CCGAGACAACTTGCCATTGTCTCCACCGTCGCGCCGGTCCTCCGGTTCTTTGCTCGTCCGCGAGAGGGCGAGCAGGGGTCTAGAGTTACGAATAGGGGGCTAGTCGTCACGAGAAGTCAGATAATAACTAAAATCTGTTCGTCAACTTTTTTAATCGGTTTAAATAACCATACGATTCCTATTAGAAACTTATTGAGCATTATCGAAAATCACAGTAAATTTTAGCTCTATATTTGAAGCGCGTGAGAAGGGCTGTGGTGCGCTAAAGTAAAGGCCCTTTCACACACTTCTGACCGCAATTCCGACCGGAGAGGCTAAAATACGGTTAGCCTTCCGTGACGGACCGACTCTGCAGCAGCGCAGCCGGTTGTAAGCCGTAACAAGAGGCTTAAGAAACGTTCGTATCGAAGTCGGTCTTCGCGCCGCCAGCCTTCATCTTGTTGCACTAGTGATAACTCAGTGTACCACTGCGCTTTCTACGCGCTCTGAATGTTTCTAAAATTTTCTGATTTCGTGGTTTTTGATGACTCTCAGCAAGACCACAACTGGAATAATGTATTTCACTATACAAAAGGTTAATTAACAGACTTTAGTTAACTGGGCGACTTATGATGAGTATTAGCCCCCTATATTCCCATTGGCCATTTAACTCACCTGCTCAAACATTCTCAGTGTAGCTTTCCGTTGTTCTTTTAACAAATGTGTAAAGCCCAAAAAAGAAACGCTATGTTTTTTTTGTGTGATCGTACAGTGAAGAGAGTAGGTTAGAGCTAAGTTAGCAGTGGCAGAAGATGGATACTTAGGAATAACCTTAATGAATTTTACTCCACTGTTTTAAGAAGGCATATATCTATCGCTTTTAAGCCGATTATTGTTATCATAAAGTGCAATGTATGAAATGCCTTCCCATTATCAAAAGTCAATTACGCTTAGTTTCTATCTAAATTACGAATTAGGGTTTCATTGCAACCTTTAGCATAAATTCGAAAGCTCAATATATATTTCCATTCTAACCGTATTTCTATGGAATAAACTATTTGGTTTTCATTTGGCTCCATACCTAAAATAACCATTCACAGCAGCTAATATTGTCCTTCATCACTCGGTCCCTTGTTCTCGTGACTGGTGCTATAGCACCAGTCACGACAACAGGACTAGCTGCTTAAAAGCACGCACTATCGTGCGCGCTTTTAAGCAGCCAGTCCTGTATTTGAAGGAATCGAACTTGCCGTGCAGTTGATGCTAACAAAAAAATGCACAGAAGTGGCAAGGCGAAGGAAACAATGTATATTGCCGGGCGTGCAGGGCCGAACAAGCAGCACTCGGTCGCGGAATCCTAGAAGATTCGCGTTTATTCTTATTCGGAAGTAACTTGTATGATGTCGTCACGCCAAACGCTCGATGCTCGAACCTTCTGGGGCGAATTTTCGCGATGCCGACGCACACTAGATAAGGAGCTGCCCGTGACCTTGTCGAGTCAGCCTCGCTCTTGCTTGCTGTTACGCTGCCAGATCGCCACCCGCTTTCTGCTTTTTAGTTCGCTGTTTATCCTGTCGTCGCCTTCATTCGTGACAATATTATACTTCGTTTCAGTTTAGGTCCGAGCGCGGCCGATGTTATGAGCCGAAGGGCCAATCAAACAGCGAAAGAGGCACATCGTCATGGCGTGCTATCTGCAGTTAATAGGACCCGCCGGTATTCGCCGTCTCTCTGTGCGTGCTCCTCCGCCGGCTGGCCCTATGAAGCGCAGAGAGGACGCCATGACGTTGCGCTTTTTGCGCTGTTTGATTGGCTCCTCGGTTTATAAGATCGGCCGCGCTCGGACCTGAGGTGAAACAAAGTATAGTTGGACAGGCCAACACACGAATCTTAGCATATGATATCCGCAGTTTGAGGGGGGGGGGGGGGGGGGGGGGAGGGAGGGGGATGAAGGTGAAGTGTGTGCTTTCGCTCCAAGTTTTTATTTTACTCCAAAATGTATTTTCATCTGCTCCAAAAGGTGCTCAAAATGAGTGAGACCAATAGCCAACCGGCAACGGCCAGGCGGCGCCAGCAGAGTGAGAGCCCACGGTTATACCCTGTCTCGTTGTAACTTGGCAAAGGGTGAACGATAAGCCACACATTGCGTGCCGAAGGCTTTGAAATGCGCGACGTACACTAGCGCAATACACACACATATTGTAGCATGACGCAGCGAAAAGCCTGATACTTCTCCGGAGTTGAGGCGCGCTCCGGAGATAGGCAGTCACGTTCCCATTGGCCCGCCAGGGCCGTAGCTTCCGCTCTACTGGCACGTTACGCGATCACGGCTTCTTGGGATACCCAGTATTTATTGCTTCAGACACTAGGCTAAGCGGCGCCACCAGAGTAAAAGCTCACGTTTGAACAATGCAGCCGCCACTCCCAGGGGTACCCAATATTTCTTGTTTCAGTCGCTAGATGGCGCCAAAACAAACAGCATTGCAGGTTGCCTATAACATCAATGGATGTGAGGCACCTTCCTTGCCCCAGGTTGCACAACAGGTGGGGCCCATGTGGGGCCCACTTGGACAATGGGGACAGCCCGTACAAGAGCTATGTTGGTTCAAAACGGGTGCAGTATGGGCATGCCCAATGTGGGCTGCCCACGCAGTGCCGTGGTGGAGTCCTACTTCGGATATGCGAAGGCAAAGTGTGGCATACGGTGAATATGCCAAACTTGGGCATCCCATGCAATACCTTCGTGGCTCCCACCTCCGCTACGCGAACGCACGCCCGATTTGGCCTACACTTGCAATACCTTAATGAGTCCTGATTCGGCCATGCGGAGGCAGAGCGAAGATACGGGCAAATCTTGGGCACGCACGGATTGGGCTGCCAATGTAAAAGCCTCGTAAGTCCCACCTAAGCCGTGCGAGGGCCAAGTGGCGATTATGTGGGCTCCACCGCGGCGAAGCGTGGGTATGTCCTACTTGGGGTGCCTATGCGAAACCCCCATGGGACCCACCTCGGCTCTATGGTGGCCAAATGCGATGATGTGGACTCCTTAGCGGCTAAGCGTGGGCGTGCCTGAGTGAGGTTGCCCTCGTAAAACCCCCGTGGGTCCCACCTCAGCTCTGCAGGGGCTAAGTTTACGAAGATGGGGTCCTCGTGGCGGCAAAGCGTGCGTATGGCCAACTTCGGCTGTGCATGTAAAACCTCCGTGTGTCACACATTTGCGGTGCAGGAGCTAAGTTAGCAATTATGTTGGCTCCACGACAGCAAAGCATGGGAATGACCGACTTGGGTTGCCCATGTACAACCCCCGTGGGTTCCACCTGGGCTTTGCGGGGGGCCAAGTTAGCAACGGTGTGGGCTCCTTGGTGGCAAAGGGTGGGCATGCCCGACTTGGGCTGCCTACGTGACATTCCTGTAGGTCCCACCTAGGCCGTGCGTGGGCCACATAAGCAATGGTGCGGGCTCCACGGTGGCAAAACGTGGGCGTGCCCAACTTGTGCTGCTTAAGTAAAACCACTGCGGGTCCCGCTTCGCCTGCGCAGGGGACAAGTTAACAATGTTGTTTGCTCCACGGTGGCAAAACGTGGGCATGCCCAACTTTGGCCGCCCATGCAATGCCCCCGTGGGTTTCATCTCGGCTAAACTGTGACAGAGTTAGCACAAAGGTTCACTCCATGGGGGCACCGCGTGGGCATGCCTAACTTGGGCTGCACGTGCGCAATGCCCCATGGGACCAACCTCGGTTATATGGGGACAAGGTTAACACAGATGCGTGCTCCACGGGGGCAAAACGTGGGCATGCCCACCTTGGACTATCTGGGAAAAATCTAAAACGACAGTTTCCGTTAGTATTGAAAAAATTCACTGCACGTTTTAGAAATTCAACATAGAAGATCGGCTTAATTTGATACCAAATCACCGAGGATTGTAATTTCAAGCGTGTGAAATTTTTGGCATGCTAACGTTTATTACCAATTAACTTACCACACAGTGTGTATGTTGAGAAGGCCGTTTTACGTGGGGTGAAATTTTTTACGCACAGTATTGAATTTGAAGGTGAACTTAAAACATGCTCGTCACAATGTCGTAAATAGTGGTGTCTGTAGACGGCTGAAAATCGCTATACGTATCACGATTGCCTGTCCAACAGGATTTTATACTCAAATGTGCAGTTTTATTTTGTTCCATTTCGTACGCTTGAAATTCTCAATCGTTTATGGGTTCGGTCAAGACGTTTTATTGGTCTATCAATATGGTAATATTTCCAGTACGCGCACGAGAAAAGTGAGGCACGCTCAAGTCGGTGTGCATTGCGAAACCCACACAGTAGGGAAATTATGAAATGACCCGGAACAAAATAACCTTCCCGGGGCGACCACATCAGGGCTGCCCTCGGAATTGCGAGTTCAGCCCTCCCCCCATCTGAGGCCACATGGGCCTCACAATTGGGGGAAGGGGGCCCTCTGGGCTGCCCATCTAGGCCTAGTACGCAAAATTAGCGCAAGAAACGAACACAGGAAGAAGGAGTAGACAGGACAGAGCGCTAGGCCCCCTGTATGCCCTACGAGGAGGGCACTTGTAGGCTGCCAAAGGAGACCCACTGTGGGTCCCACGAGGGCAGCCCCGGGTCGTGGGCAGCCCACGGCCCGGGGCCCAATTCGGGCCAGAGTTGCAAAACCGACGTGGGAAACACGTAGGCTGCCCACGTGGGACCCTCGTTGGCCTTCCTTCTGGAGCGTGGATTTTGTGCTACTTGGTGCCCTCTACGAGTACGATGGCTGTGAAATTTGCTTAGGCGTGTGTCAGTAGTCGTCACCCTTGTACTGTCTTGACTCTTCTGAAGCGCCAGCTGACAGAAGATAAGGAGGCAGACGTCAAATGTATTTTCGCCTGGTGTTGACTCTACAAAATGAAGCTCCAGCCTGTCAAAATGATAAGAAAAGCAGTTGCAATGAATCTAAAATTTTACAATTACTGAGGTCGAAAGGTGCAACCACAATTACTTTCCATAAAAAGCTAATAATCACAAATACAAATGACCCCCAAAAGTAACTATAAGTAACAGAAATTTAACTACCAGAACTAAATTACTACCCAAACGGGTGATGCCATGCCATCACGTAACATCGTAATGTCACGTGTCACTGTAAATTCGGTGAAAGCCATGTACAGGCACAGGGCTGTAAAGTGAACACACTCGCGCATTGTCTTCACAATTTATTCGCTGGCCTGCACCGCCTTCTTAAAAGCTGGGGACACAACGTTCGTGGTGGTCTTCCTGACGGCCTTGTTAAAGACGTTGTTGCCCAGCGATATGATCTTGGAGCCCGGCACCGAGAAACTGGACACGCCGTCCAGCTGAATCGAGACGGCGCTGAAGTGGCTGAAGGCTAGAGACGCGCTGCGCAAGTTGCCCCTGACGTAGCGGAGCCGCCCGGTGAAGGCGCCATTCCGTCCTTCGACGATCAGGTCTCCGGACAGCGGGCTGTTGCCACGCGAACGCCAGTTGTAGTGGCCCTTGACCTGCGCAGTGTGGGGCAAGGAAGGCCAAGTTGGAAGCAAGTCTTCTGGATGACGTTAAGCGATTCGTGACTCCAGAGTCCCATAGGGTTCACCACTCTCGACAAACATGGCGGTCGAAAACAGGCCGTGCAATGCCACATGTCATTTAAGCGCCAGGTTAGGCAATAAACATAATAATGATTGAAGTCGTGATTTAAATTGTGATTTAAATAAAACCAGTATTACTACTATGATTTAAATCGAACTCTTACAGAAAAAAATAATTCCAAATTTATTTTTATTTATGGTTCGTCTATCATTCGTCTATGTATTTGTTTCGTAGCTAAATCAAAAGAAGCAAAAGAAAAGGTATAAGGTTTAAAAGCGCAAACAGACAGGGACAATAGAAAATAACACAAACGACAGGGACAAGGCGCTACTCTCACTGATTTTATTGCAAGACCGTTCATCGCTTTTATTGACAACTCATCCACCGTCTACATTTCAAACAACGCCAACAGCCAATAAACGGTGTTTTATTGGCTGTTGGCGTTGTTTGAAACGTAGACGGTGGATGAGTTGTCAACAAAAGCGATGAACGGTCTTACAATAAAATCAGTTGGGAGTAGCGCCTTATCCCTGTCGTTTGTGTTATTTTCTATTGTCCCTGTCTGTTTGCGCTTTTAAACCTTATACCTATCATGGACCAACTAGCCGAAACCAAAGTTTTAATGAGACAAAAGAAAAGGTTCATTTTAGGCTCAATATGAGCAAAGAGCAATGATCTTCTCAGTATATCGAATAATTGTGCTTTTTTCCTACCTTCTACTTCGTGTATCAGTTAAGCAACGTTCTATTTCAAGCAAATCATAACGTGAGAAAAAAAAGAAGAAAAGTAATGTTTTATGCATGCAAATCAGTACGCGAATAAAAGCAAATAAAGCTTTGTAGCTAACTAAAAAAAATGTAGTACGGATGAGGTTACATCAATAAAATGAGTTAATAAAAATACTTTGAGGTTTGAATAATTCTTTCTTTCCCATTATTATCAGTGATCGGACGGATTGGGCAGCCAAATCTGACATGTTTAAACGTGCATGTAGTGATAGAGTCACTATTTTCTAGGCACAGTGATGTAAATCATATTTATATATTTAAATAAAAAAAATGTGATTTAAATAGCCTAAGTTTGATTTATATCAAATAAATATTGTTTATTTGAATTTCTAAATTATAATCTTTTTTTCGAATTTGTTCAAAACACTACGCTTGGGGTTATTCACACGGGTATTCACACTGGGGAAAATATCTCCGTTTACACCCCAGGACGCGTATCACGTGGTAACAACGCCAATTGCTTTTGCGCAGTACCGCACCGACGTAGACATCCCCGAAGGGATGGGGGAAATTTCGCTCGGGCTGCACAAACGCCTCGGCGTGGGATTTTTTTTAAAATTGACGGTGTTTTCATCGCGTGCCTGCCAACTTTACAGATTTTGCTCAGCGAGATACCGGAGGTGACATCGGGGTTGCCTAACTGGTTGTGGCTTGCGCTGTTGCGCACGCCGTCCGAGGCGCCCGAAGCAGTCTTCGATGATCACCAATGCTGTCATCAAGCCGCTCTTCGTACAACTGGGTTTTGATTCCACGTCCTTTGAGTTGCATCCAGCCATTCAAGAAGAAGCGTCTTTCATAGGATGACCAGACGTCCCGTTTTGGCCGGGACAGTGCCGTTTTTGAGGTCCGCTTCTGCCGTCCCGTCTTTTTGTCCCAATAATGGATCATGTCCCGTTTTCGCAGCAGTAAGTAGTTTCGAAATTGGCAATAAGCGAGTTGAAGCAAGCCGAAAATATTCCTATCGTTACAAGTATATTTTACAAAAAAAACAACAACAACAAAAAAAACGTAGGTATTTTAAAATATGTACCCAGAGAATAAAATTTGGAACTGCCCTTGCCCACAAACACCTTTTCTTTCGCAAAGACACGTGTGTGGAATTTTTTTTTGTTACTGGATATAGCACGCATGTAGGATCACGGTTGACAACACTACACAATTTTTCGAAAATGGCGAAGAAACGCACGTGTGTGTTCACCGGTGAACCCTAGAGCCACTCGATATGGCAGCGTAGCTGCCAGAGTAGCGCCACGCTTTTCCCTGTGCCGCCTCTCACCGTGATTGGTCACACGCGGTACCATAGCAACGAGCTGAGCTGGCTCGGTTTCCTTAGCAACCGAGTGACTACTCGTCACGTGACCTCGCAAGTGCTGTGATGTCACCGGTAAAATGGCAGCGCCCAGAGCTGGTGTATACGAGTTTGTTCGGTGCGCGGTAGTCGTGATGTGCTGCTGCTTGCCGACGATTTCGGACTTCTTCGTGCTCTCTGACGCAGGTATAACGTGAAGACCTGAAAGAATGTGACTTTATACCTTTCTGTGCAAGATCGCTCTGGATATTAGCACCTGTGCGACAGCATCAGTCATATCGCCGTAACGCTGCTCGTATTCCTGGATGTGTTCGAGGATAAATAAGACATTTTGCATGCAATTTTCGCATACTCCTAGCCTTGTTTGAACGTTGGAATGTCTGAGAATCAATACGAATTGTATGCGTCGCATGTTGGACCTTGGGGAAGTTGTTTCACCCCCAAGCAACCGCGTAATCACAAACTTTTAGCGATTAAGCTCCTGCGATTTTTACGTTTTGTACTAATCAACGATCTTACGATATAGCTTTTGGGATAACATTTTCGCATTTTCTAGCCTCCTTTGAATGTTGGAATTTCTGAGAATCGAAACGAAAGGTATACGTCGTGTGTAGGGCCTAGGGGAAGTTGTTTCAGCCCTGGGTCACCGAATAATCACAGTAACTTTAAGCGAGGAAGCGCCTGCGACCTTTAACCTTTTGTACTAATCGACGATTTTACGAATTGACAGTTTTGAAGGCTTTGATAAACGTCCTTTCGTTGCAATAGCTTGCATTTGATCGCAGTGTTTTTTTTTGTTTGTTTTTTCAAGTTACAAGCTGGCGTTTGCTCAAATGACGTATATGAAATGACCTGGTCTATAAGAATGTATCAACACACGCTATTAAATTTATATGTTCAGAGGTGTGTTCGTCTTTGTAATTTATAAGTTACAGACAATTATTTTTTACTAGTGTAATATTTATTTTCTGTAGCTGGGCCCGTTTTGTATTCATTAATGTCCGTGTGCTATGATGCTATCGTCATGTGTGTATAGTTCTAAATATCTTTTTTTGTGATGCCTACAAAAGCCAAAATGACGTCAGCCGACCCCAGCTCACGCACTTGGCACGAAAACTGCGTCACTCGAACGTATACGCTCGTCAACAATCAATTCGTCGATGAATATTTGAATTCGCGTTCGTGGCCAATGAGTGCACATGAGTGCACTTGCGAATCACAAGTTCTATGGTGTGCTTAAAAAGCACGGTGGAAGCTTAGGATCATCGCACCGGTGTCCTAGCATGTCACGACCGCGTGATTCCACTGTTCTCGTTTGAGTTGAGGATTAAAGCTAAGGGAGAAGTTAAAGAATCATTTTATGGCCCCATTAACACGGATATGCGTGCTACACCAGATAAAAATATTGACATTTTGCATGCCGATAAACTTCCGGACGACCACTTGGCCTGTCGGCAAGAACACCTCATATCCGGCGTCCGCCTCTTTTGATGGCGTTAGCAATCCTCTGTAGACCACCGTGCTGTCCTTCTTGGTTTAACCCCGTCGACTGTTCATCGTAATCGTAATCGTAATCGTAATCTTTATTGGCTCAGAAGAGCCGTGGCACCGCGGAAAGGCGACAGCCCGTACCATGGAGGCCCGCGGTGCCACGTCTAGTGATTATGATTATGAGATGATATATACAAGGGGGGGGGGGGGGGGAGGGGCGACGCGGCCTTCTCAACATCGCAAGCAGCGTTGCTTCGGGGTTCGCCAAGACACTTCTACCAGCTGTAAGAAGTGCCTGGGCAAAGGGTGGTGTCCGGAGGCTTCTCTGTGCGTTGCGGCTGGAAAAGCCTTGGCAGTTTGATGGTGTTGAGGACGACGTGCTCTTCTGATCCGCCGCACGAGTCTTGGAGGTTCGGCGGCGGTACAGGCCAGTAGGCAAGCGAGCCAAGGTGACCTTCGGTAGGCTGTTCAGTGGACCATCTGGATGGTAAAGCCCTGGAGGTTGATGGTGCGCTCGCTCACTTCGTTGAAGGCAGCGGCTACAGGCGGCGGCCCAGTCAAAGTAGACGGCTGCCACCCCCAATGCATTGACGTCCAGGGCTAGAACGCAGCGCCCCGGTCAACCGGTATAGCTTCCTGGCATCGTCGTCGTCGTCTACCTGGCATCGCCCAAAACGAGGGTGATACCGTCATCGACGTCGCTCCCCGCCAGTCGGTGAGATAATCCCATCTTGAATGAATGATTGGGTCTTGAAGAAGTATGGTGCTATGCATACATTCTCTTACTATGGGGCAGTCGAGCAGCAGTCATGTCCCAAGGCAATCGTCCTGTCGTGGCCGGCGTAATCAGATTTTGTTCCATAGGAGCGAAGTCCGAAGTACAAGGACGGTACGTCCGTCCCACGAAGCCGCAGCCATCCCGGCGGCGTGGAAAACCACTCGCCTTGTCCGTGCACGCTGCAAATCGTCTTTTTTCACAGAAGAAACAGGCACCGCTCCTCCAGAGGCCCGTGCCGTACCGCCATGCAAAGCGTCTTTTAGGTCTTTTACCACTTTTCAATTAACGAATGGAGGTATCAACTAGATAAAGGTTGCCGCCCGGCGTCGCTAGTAGTACGGTGACCACAGGTGACCATAGAAACCTCCCAGGCCCAAAATGGAGATCAGTATAGGCGCTTCTGATGTTCTGCATCTAGATAATTTTGCGTTGTGTCGCTACTCTGGCAGCTACGCTGCCATATAGAGTGGCTCTAGTGAACCCTTGTCAATAAAAGCATTCAAAAGAAACTAGAAGATGGGAAATCTTCAGGTATTACAGTCTGTG